AGTGTGATCAGGCGTTCTAGCTGCGCGGGCTGATTCCCCGAAGCTGGACGGAAGTCACACCTCCTTTTGCGGCGGAGGCGTGGCTCGGCTGTGGGCTCTTTCGTAATGGAGTTGACGACGACGCAGCAAGATTAAGTTCAGTTTCGCAGCCAGTCGTTATCTTTGGTGATGCTTCGGGCGGTCCTGACTCCAGGGACCCTCGCTTTCGCCGAGTAGGATGCGGTCTGGTGATGGTTAGTAGCGAGGAGGATTTGACCATCCAAGGAGTCATCATGGGCCCGCTGCCAGGGAACCAGACGGTGCCCCGCGGTGAGCTGTATATGCTATGGATGGCAACTCGGGTTTCCACAGACCACCTTGTTTATATCACAGACAACCAGTCAGTTTACAACGGCTGGTACGACAAGCAGTTCAGGAATCCGGGTGGTGAGTCTGCAGAATTGTGGGCACGCATTGGAGAAGAGCTAGGTCGCCGACCAGATGAGCATATCATTGTGCTGTTCGTGAATTCTCATATGTCGGCCGCAGAGGCGGCAGCAGCGTGTGTATCAAGTTGGTTGATCTGCGGGAACGCCACGGCTGACATCGTTGCAGGAGAGGCGGCGAGAATGGCCAGGCTGCCCCAATTCGATCGCACACGAGTGGCGCAAGTGGAACATCGTGCATTTCTGGTACGAATGAGGCTGCTGCGGGCGGCCATTGACTCGATGGCAGCGGAGGAGGCCTTGGCAAGGGCCCAGCAGAACTCCCGCCGAGGGGATCTGAGTGAGGGAGGGTTCCGTTCTCCTCCTCCCCCTCCCCCTCCTTTGCAGCTCTGCTTGCCGCCGCCGTGCCCCGATGCTGTCTCCATCCTGTCCAGTTCGCACGCGTTGGACGATTCGGGGCGTCGGTGCCGCAGGTGTCGTGGCTCAGCGTCGATCGCCGAGCGTCGGAAGTGGAGAGGGTCACCGTGTTTCAAACTCGTGGCCTTGGACTGTGCGTTGCGAACCCTTCCCCAGGGGGCGGAGTTGCACATCGCTGGGGGGTGGGTGCACAGGTCTCACAAGCTGAGGTACCATCAGGACGTCAATGTATGGTTCTGTGCGGTGTGTGGCATGTTTGCTGATCAGCAGTTGCTTGGGTTGGGGAAGCAGTTTGTGTATATGACCACCCCGACCCGAGCTGGCTACCTAGCCAGAATTAAAATTTCGTTGTGGCCCAAGGCCCTCACGTAGGCCCAGCGGGCCAAGAGAGTCCAGAAAGGGCTTCCCATTTAAGGCGTCTGAGGTTGGACATCGTCCAGGGACTCTTACTCTTACTCTTACTCTTACTCTTACTCTTACTCTTACTCCCTCCTCCCTCCTCCCTCCTCCTTCTCTTCCTCCTCCTCCTTCTCCTCCCTCCCTCCTCCTCCTCCCTCCTTCCTCCTCCCTCCGTCGACCGGAGGATAGACTTTCCCGTCGGATCCACGAAAGGTGCGTGGACTGCTCCGCAGGTCTCGGAGCACCCTGCGCATGTCTCGCAGATTCGCCTGGACAGCAACTTCTGGGGTGAGTCAACTCTGCAGTCGATCCCCTGCTCGAAGGCTCCTCGCTCCTCCGCGCTGGAGGCGGCTGGCCGGGCCGGGCGCCTGGACCCAGTACACCGTCTTCTCGGGGAACTTCTCGTCCTGGAAAGGGGGCGCGGCGGGGCCGCGGGAGGATCGGATCGGACCTCCGCGCAGGCAGGGACCGACCTGAGCAGTGGTTCTCGTCTTCGTTTCGTTGTCGTTCTCCCTCGTTTTGTCTGCCGTCCGCCTCTGCTGCAAAACGAGATCGAAACGAACACTCGCCCACGAGATCGCCAAAACACCGGCTAGGTCGACCCCTGCGCGCAGGAGCCCCACCAGGGAGCCACGGCTGGGGGCGTGCGGCCGCATTCGAGCAATTGCAAGGCGCGGAAGTGGGGGGACACGGAGAACGAACCGTGGCGTGCGTGCGCTCGCGGGAGCGCGCGCACGCGCGAACGACGGACAGCGACGCCGAGAAGTCGATGATGGGCAGTCGCGAGGAGCGAGTGGCGTGGGCACGAGGAGGAGGAGGTTGAGGATGAGGAGGAGGAGGAAGAGGGCCAGTGTAAACCCAGCACGCGCCTACGAGGCCGCAATAAACCCTTCCTCCAAGTTCCCTATTTTCAAGTCCCTATCAGAATGTGTGTTCATTGCGGGAAGTCGCTTATTAGTCGCTTATCAGGAGACAACCGTCTGAGAATCCCCATTCGTGCCAACACAACGCTCCTTGGACTTCAACCCCGCGGCTCAATGTGATGGTTGCGTCCTGACAATCCCAGACCGTACCAGAACACCGTTCCTGGACATTCAACACCCCGAATCAACGTTACTGTTGCGACCTGATAATCCTAAATCGTGCCAGAACGCCGTCCTTGGGACTTCGCTCACACGAACCCTGGAAACTGCTGAAATCTTTGCGGCGCTGGCGCAATAATCACATTTTGAAAAGGGACCCGCCCTCCACCCGTGAAACTGTTGCAAACCTTTGAAGCGAGTGTACACGGCGCTCAGGCGAGAGCCACAGCTTGAAAAGGACCCGCCCTGCACCCGCGAAGCCGCTGCAAACTGTCAGTACGAATGTGCGCGGCGCTAGGGCGAGAGCCATATTCTGAAAACGGCCTGCCCTGCATGCGTGGAACTGCTGCAAACTCTGAGTCGAATATGCGCGGCGCACACGCGATAACCGCATTTTGAAAAGGACCCGCCCTGCACCCGTAAAGCGGTTAAAACATTAGAATACGCATGTGCGTGTCGCTGAGGCGAGAACCACATGTTGAAAAGGATTCGCCCTGCATCCATGAAACTGTTGCACATTTCAAGATTCATAATCATGACTGGTGAAAACATCTCAAGCGAAACGCCAGGCCCGCTCTACCGACATGTCAGGGGGTGTGACAGGGAGGACTTGTGTATAAGGGACAGAGATGGGCGAAGAAGGGGAGAGGACGAGGAGGAGGAAGGATGAGGAGGAGGAGGGCGAGGAGGAGGGTGAGGAGGAAGAGGAGAGGGAGGACGAGGATCAGGAGGCGGAGAGGGATGATGAGGAAGAGGGAGAGGATGATGATGAGGATCAGTAGGAGGACGAGGGTGGAGGAGGAAGAAGAGGTGGTGGAGGAGGAGGAAAAGATGGAGGACGAGGATGAGGAGGCGGAGGATGGGGAGAGAGAGAAGGCGGGTGGCCGCTGCGAAGAGCGGCCCGAGGGTGATGAGGTGCCGCCGCCTCATCCTCTTCCTCCTCCCCCTCCTCCTAGTCAATCCTCCCCTCCTCCTCCTCCTCCTCCTCCTCCTCCTCCTCCTCCTCGTCCTCGTCCTCCTTCACCTCGCTCCCCGCTCCTCCTCCCCATTATTCTCCAGTATTCCTCCTCTTCCTCCACTCTCCTCTCTCCTCTCTCCTCTCTCTCTCTCCTCCTCCTCCTCCTTCTCCTCCTCCTTCACCTCGCTCCTCGCTCCTTCTCCCCATTATTCGCCATTATTCCTCCTCGTCCTCCTCTCTCCTCTCTCCTCGATCCTCTCTCCACCATCACCATTACCATCACCATCACCATCATCATCTTCAGCAGCATCATCATCGTCATTATCAGCATCATCATCGCCGTCATCATCATTATCCTACTCGCTCCTCCTCCTCCATCTACTCCTCCTCCCCCTCCACCTCCTCCTCCTCCTCTTCCTCCTCCTCCTTCTACTCCTCGCTCCTCGCTCCTCATTCTCCTCCTCCTCTTCTTCTTCCTCCTCCTCCTCTCATCCTCCTCTTTCTCCTCCTCCTCCTTCCCCTCCTCTTCCTTCTCCTCCTCAATCTCCTCCTCATCCTGCTTCTCCTCCTCCTCCTCCCTCCTCCTCGCTTCTCCTTCTCCTCCTCCTCCTCCTCCTCCTCCTCGTCATCATCATCAGCAGCATCATCATCATCAGCAGCAGCATCAGCAGCAGCAGCAGCATCATCATCATCATCAGCAGCAGCATCATCATCTGCGTCTCCTCGCACTCGCTCAAGACTGAAAAATTTCCGAGAGGAGAGCATTGGGACCATCCTGCCTTCGCCCTCCTCTTTGAGAGGTGTTCCCAGAGAGGCTTCCAAGAACATCGATCGATTCAATGTTGAAATTGCTAAGAGGGCATCGGTCGCTCCCCACAGGACAGCAGGCACGGGCCAGTGGGAAGCCATGTGTTGGGATATTTGGAGGGGATTGGTGCGGGCCTCTGTGGACGACCCGGCATCTTAAGCCCTCTTGGCCTAATAATCTGTGGCCGCTTTGGGCCTCCAAGACTTCTTAAGGATCTCTTGGGCGCCCGTCTGGGATTATTGGAAGGAATCTTGGAGGCCCCTGGTGTGGCCTCCGCTAGGGCCTCGTGGCGGGTCTCTGGTGGGGGTCTTGCGGGCCTCTTGGAAGCGTCTTGCGGGCCCATTTGGGCTTCTTGATGTCGATTCAAGTACCTCCCTCTCTTGAACCTCCTGCCTTCGTCTTCCGCTCCGTCCTCCTCGCCACCCGTCATCCTCTACCTCTCGATTCGAGCGGTGTTCCCAAGGAAACTTCTGAGCGCGTCGATTCGAATACTCCCAGAAAGCTTCCTGGAACATCGATTCGGATCGTTATTACTCAGGGACGTCCACCCCGGATCGGAGGGCCCTATTGGGCAGTTTGCGGAGTCGGTTGGGGAGCCCCTGATTATATGCAGGCGTCCGTCTTCGTCCAAAAGCTCCCACATACCCAAAATCGCGGATCGTGGAGGAGGACCATGATGAATTGGTTGACTGGTGGATGGTGAGGCATACGATTGCCCTCGCCTTGGTGTGCTGGCTCGGACAGGTGGAGGCTCGTTCTGGACCCCTTCCTGAGGCTACCCTCGATGGCCGAGGGGCCGCAAGGGAGGCCCTCGGCCTGGTGCTTCTTGACTGCAGGTGCGCTGGTGTGCTGGCTGAGCGGTTCGAGCGTTGCGCTTCTCCGCCGCCCGCGCGCGCCCCGCGGGGCTCGCCTCAGGGCCAATAGACCCCCTGCGAGCGCAGCAGCTGCGGCAGGCGCGCGCACGCCGCCTCCCGCTCCGCGTCCGAGCGGGCGTCGTCGCGCGGGAGGTGGGCGAAGAGGTTCCCTCGCAGGTCCAGCAGGTTCACCGTGGTGGCGTGGAGGGGCACTCGCACCAGCACCTCCAGGCTAGAGCGGCCGTCTGCACGCAAGAGTGACCCTGGGCCAGCGGCAAATGGAACTCTGGTGCGCGACGTCTGCGGGCCTCGGGAAAGGCATATCCTGGCGAGCCAGCCTTGGCGGCGCGCAGAGGGGGGGGAGGGAGGGGGGAAAACTTCTTAGCTTAGGAAGCGCGGGCCTCACATCTGCAGAGAAGGCCCGCGCCTTCTAAGAAGCAGGGGGTGCTTCCCAGAAGCCTTCCCCCTCCCCCATACCCCCCTTCTGCGCGTGGCTGCTGGCCAGAGCTGGGAGGACGCCCGTGCGCGCGCACCGAAGGCCACCCCAGCGAAAGGTCACTCTTGCGCGCACGCAGCCAGACTGAGCTACAGCCGACCCGTATCATAAGCATGCGCGATGAGGATGCAGGGGCCTTGGGAGGCCATCTCGAAGCTTCTCGAGCAGGACGTGGCCAACGAAAGTAGCCACGGATGGACCGACGAGGCAAGGATGCAAGGATACCCTTGGGAAGGGAGCCCATCCTTCCTACGCGGGTTGACTGTAGGTCCGCCGCTGCTTCGCGCGTCGCGCCCGGCGGTGCGCGGCGCGCGCTTCTCTCAGCGCCCCCGTGCCGCCGCGCTGGAGAAGGGCGCCTCTCCGAGCCGAGCCGCGATGCGAGGGTACCTCTGCGCCCCCTCGGGTGACCTACACCCCTGCTTAGATAGAGGCCTCCTACATGGGGTCGGAGTAGATGGGGTCGGAGGATCACACCGCATCGCTGATACATCGGCGATGCATCGGCGATGCATCGGCGACGCACAGGCGATGCACCGGCGGCGTCGGCGGTGCATCGTCGACGTCGACGTGAAGCAAATCGGGCTGCACATCGAGCCGCATCCCCGATGTATCGGCGATGCGGCGCGATCCTCCGACCCCATCTATTCCGACCCCATCTGGGAGGCCTAGATTAGAGTTAAGAAAACTTTCAGTTAAGAGCGCAGACTTCGCTCGAGGCGTTTTCTCAAGCAGCAGTCCAGGTCCAGGAGTACGACAAAACCCTCTGCGCAGAGTAGGCTCCAAGAAAACGCTCAGGGTCCAGCACGGATCCTTGATCTTCTGCAGCGGCATATGGAGGCCATGACGGTTGATGTTTTTGTTCTTCAGAGTTCGGATGGGTGCAGATGGCCCAGGTCTGCGTGCGCAAGCACAGACTTCCAGAGGTCCGCGCGGATCCTGTGGGCCAGCGCCTGCCCCCCCGCCTCCCCTGCCGCATGGAGCGCGCCGGGGGCGGCGTCGGGGAAGCACCGCCGCCGCGGCGGTCCGGCGCCAGCCAGGAGACCCGCGCCGACCTCCGACAGCCCAAGCTCCTGCCGTCTCGTCGGCGGCGCGGCCAGGGGGAAGGCAGAGGGGGGCGGGCCGTCTCTCGGCGGCGCGCAGGAGGGACCCTGGGCGAAAGTGGCCTTGATAGCGCGCGGGCTGAGGGGGGCGTGGCCCAAGCCAGGCACGCAGGCAGCCACTATCGCGTCGCGCTCAGCGATCGGGGGGACCCCGCTGAGCCTGCGCCAGAGGTCACTCCTGGGAAAGGGGCGTTCTTGCGTGTAGTAGTAGATTTTCTCGGAAGGTTCACGAGGCCTCTGGCCTTCTGAACATATCACTGAGCCTTCTCTGGAAGCAGACGGCTTCTCAAAAGGCGCAAGGGCTTGCGAGAAACTTCAACGCCTTCTGAAAAGGCCTGCCCCGCCTACCTTCCCCCCATTCCCGGGTATCCGCCGTTCTATATGGAGGGCCAGGAGGTTGCGAAGCAGGAGGGGGAAGCCGATGAGGAGGACGAGGGGGAGGAGGGGGAGGAGGAGGAGGAGGAGGAGGAGGAGGAGGAGGAGGAGGAGGAGGAGGAGGAGGAGGAGGAGGAGGAGGAGGAGGAGGAGGAGTGAGGGGGAGGAGGAGGAGGAGGAGGAGGAGGAGGAGGAGGAGGAGGAGGAGGAGGAGGAGGAGGAGGAAGGGGAGGAGGAGGAGAGAGGAGGAGGAGGAGGAGGAGGAGGAGGAGGAGGAAGATGCGGCTCTCCGCTGGGACATTGCAGCGGGGAATCCCAATTCCAAGCTGCTGCCTCTGATGTTCTCAATCCGCGGCCCAAGAGATCCCGACGGTCTCCCCGGGGCCAGCTTTGCATCCTGGCTCCGGCTCTGTCTTGGCCCTGGGCCTGGAGAAAAAGGCACCCGAGAGCTCGAATCGGGGGACACCCCCGAAGGATTGCAAAAACCATTCCGCCGGAGCTTTTCGGTCACGGTGAGGGCATTGGATAAGGAACCGTTGGATGAGGAACCCAAGGTCTGGGATCCCTAAGGGCTTGACGACTCTTAGCCAACCGACTTGTGGGAATCGAGCCAGATAAATCCAGGTAAATGCACATACATCCAGGTAAGTGCAGATAAATCGAGGTAAATCCAGGTACATCCGAGTAAGTCCAGGTAATCCAAAAATCTTCAGGGACAGTTGGAGCAAATTTCGGCCGCTCTAGTGCGAATCGAAGGACGGTAGTCGTTAAGCCTTTAACGACGGGAGTCTGTGGAACTCGAATCGTGGATTGGCCATGTACACCACTGCCGCCCTCATCAGATATCATGAATCCCCCAGGGTCCGAAGCCTCCTGGGCACATTCCTTAACGAACGCCACAACCGTATTTAGAGGCCTTCTAGATGGGGTCCGAGAAGATGGGGTCGGAGGATCGCGCCGCATCGCCGACACATCGGCGATACAACGCCGATGCATCGGCGACGTCGGCGACACATCGGCGACGTCGGCGTGGAGAAACACGGGCTCCACGTCGAGCCGCATCGTCGATGCATCGGCGATGCGGCGCGATCCTCCGACCCCACACTCGGACCCCACCCAGGATGCATAGAGAGTACAGATTCTGGCCTCGAAGGGGATCTGCGTCAGCGCGTCGGCGTCGAACGCCCGCAGGAGGGGGCCGAGCGCGGGCGCCGCGAGGTCGGCCCACAGGGCCTCCAGGCGCCGCAGCACGGCGCGGAACAGCGGGCCGTCCTCCAGGGCGAGGTGAACGGCGAAGAGTCCCATCGTGCTGGAAGGACCACATCTCAAAAATAATTTCGATCACCCAGAAAAGTATCGAAACAGTGTCGACCGAGTAGCGCATCCCAGGGCCCGACACGTGAAAAGTCTCCCACTTCGGTGCTTTCCTGGTGCTCGAAATTCTTTCTGGTGGTCAAGGCTACAATAGGCTGGAACATCATAATTCTTACGAAGGATAGCATGGAGTCAACGCGTATCATGAGGATGCGCGGTAAGGGCCGCCAGCGCGGCACGCCACATTGGAAACGCATGCGCTCACGCGCGACCTTGCCCGTGAAGCTCACGCGCTAATGTCGGTGAAGACGGCCCCGTCTTTCTGCGTCGGTCGTCTAGCATCTGCAGTAGACACATACGAGAAGAGATCTTGCCATAAGAGATCTCGGGGCACGCTCTTCCTCGATCTTCGAGGCTTCTGAGGCGCCCCTGAGCTCCGGCGGGCTTCCACCGTCATCGGGGGATAAGAAACTTCCGTGAGGCAGATCCTGGCAGGCTGGTTTCCCATCTGACGTGCCTGCTGTGGGAATCGATCGTCGAAACTCGCTGGGCATGACGATGGCATGGCCAAATGCGGCCGCCGACAGGAATGTGCCCGGGAAGATCCAAGGCCCAGAGGGGAAGGGGCAGAGGGAGAGACGCTGACGCTTCGGGTCCTCGTGGCCCAGTAGCTTGCCTAAGAAAGAGGGAACGACGAAAGAAGCGCAGGCCGTCCTCCAGGGTGAGGGAGAAGGCGAACAGGTCGTAGTACTCTCTGAGGCCAAGAGGAACAAACGAGCCCAAACCTCCGACGATCCGTTTTTCTCCACTCCAGCGCTTTTTTTTATCGATTTCTGCCCTTGGGTTAGATCGGGTATGTCCTCCTGCAGGCGGATTTTGGAAGAAAAATAGAAAATTGCCCAAGGAGATCAAGCGTAGTCGAAAGAGCACGAACAATCGTCACCAGACTATTGTTTCTACTGTTCTTGAGCCTTCCTCCTGCAGAGGGGCATGCCCGACCGAACTCTTGGGGGCCGCGCTCGGGCCCCGGCACCAATCCTCCTGCCTCCGGGACGAAAACAGAAATCCCCCCCTGGGGCCAGCGGTCGGGACCTCTCATCGGGGGCCGCGGAGGGCGAGCACCGATCGGCGGCTGCCAGGGAGCCGTGGAGGCGTGCACTCTCGGAGGGCCCGCGCGGAGTTCCTGGGCAGGCGCCGGAGCCCTCCCTCCCCCGGGCGGCGCGGAGGGGCGCCTCGGAGGGGCGCCTCGGAGCGCCGACCCAGGAAGTCTGCGCCGAGCTCCGGCAGCTTCTGCTCGTGGCGCTTTCTGTTCCTCGGGCAGCGCTGCACGCAGAGCTCCCCCGCGGGCTCCAGAAGGGCCCTGAAGTCCTGCTCTATGCAGCTCGAGGTCACCGCGATCTTCACCGTCCACGGCGCCATAAGGTCGTAATCCACCACCACGGGCCGCCCAGCACGTCGGAGAATGTTGGGGAGCTTGAGGTCGTTGTGGAATGCCACCCGCGACAGCCTGCCCGTGATGCGCAGCAGCTCGGCGGTGTCGTCCTCCGACCACGCGGACTCCTCGAGCGGGTCCAGGCGCTCCATGAAGAGCACGGTGGCCCTGTAGTGGCCGCCCTTCCTCTGCTCCACGACGCCGTGCCCGTAGACCCTGGGCCCCAGGGCGTGCCGGTCAGCCGTGAGGCTGTTCTCCACCAGGGCCTTGTGCACCCAGGGCCGCTCCCGGTCGGTGACGAGCTTCGCCGCCACCGGCACAGCGGTGGAGCCGAACACCCGCGCGTAGCTGCCCTCGCCCAGCTCCGCCGCCCGCACCTGCTCGCCCTCCCGCTCCGCGTACCTGGCGAGGTCGAGGGCGCAGAGGCACGGGAGGCCCCCGAGGCGGCGTGCCGTCAGCAGAGCCAGCAGAGGCCGACGAGGTCCCAGAGGTCCAGCGCAGATTTCCCGCCCTGGCTCCGATGGGCGCCTGTTTTCCACCACCGGCCACCATAAGATGGCAGGGGCAATGGGGTCCTCCTTCTTTTTTTTCTCCTCCTCCTCCTCCGTACGGCAGGCCGCCTCCTGGCGGCTCGCTGCCGAAGCTCCTCCGCGTCCTCCTCCTCCTCCTCCTCCGCGTCCTCCTCCTCCTCCTCCTCCTCCTCCTCCTCCTCCTCCTCCTCGTCCTCGTCCTCCTCCTCGTCCTCCTCCTCATTCCCCCCTCCAACTTATGGTGGTGGTGGTGGTGGAAAACAGGCCTACCATTCCCGGCGCAGAGCTATAGGCCCGAGACTCTCCCGCCACGCACCTGAGTCTCGAGCACTTTTTCGTCAGCGGCGAGGCGGCGAAATCCGCGCCAGCGTAACAGCAAGGTGGGGACACTGACCTAACGAATTGGCCCGCGTGCAAGGAGGGAGGGGGGAGGCCGAGCGGAAGGAGGGACGCTCAGACGCCGAAGACTCTCGAACACTTCTTTGGTCTGCGGGGCGAGAGCGAACCTCTTCCGGTTCAAAGCTAGGCGGGCTACGCACAGCTCTAATTGGGGAGACAGAGCACAGGCGGGCGGGGCCTCAGGCGGCCGGAGGGCGGGCCGGGGTGCAGGCGGTACCGAGGAGCTTGCACAGGAAAAGGAACGCCTTGGACAGGAGCCGGAGGCGAAGATCCGGAGGGGGAGCGGTGTGGAAGACTCTCGAACACACGCTGGCATGGATTAATTACGGATCTGCGGGCCTGGCGCGCGGGCGCCAGGACCACGGATCGGAGACGACAACGCCCCGAAGCGCGCCGCTGGCGCCGCCTGGCCCGGCGACGGAGCGGCGCCGACGTCGTGTGGAAACGGACCCCGCCGCTAAGCCACAGGCCTCAATCCATCTCTGCGCTTCCTCGACCTGCGGGGCGGCGCCGGAGGCGCCGCCCAGGGGCGAGCGGAGAGAGAGAGGTCCGGCGCCGACCCCCATGCCCCGACAGCCGCCGAGCAGATTTCCCCGGCCGCGGCCTCAAGAGGGTCCCGACATGTCCCGTCCGACCCATGCCCTGGGGGTGGGTCTTTCGTCCTGGATCGGGGTGCGATGGCCCCCGGGCCCTTGGTGATCCCCCGAGTGCCGCAATCGAGGAGAGCGCGCCGGGCCGAGAGCTGCGTGGGCTGGACAGGGCAGGCTGTTGCGCTGTGGACGTGCGATCTGTGCTGTGCGAGCTGATTCTGTGCCGCATGCCGTGCCTCGGAGCTCTGCGGTGCAGGTGGTGCGACGGAGCCAGCGCACGAGGCAGCCTGCAGGCGGCCAGGGGCGTGGCAGCGTGGCGCCACCTCGCCGGACCCGCCCGCCGCTGGAGGCCTGGAAAAATGGGCACCAGCACCAGCACAGGGGGCTGCCGCCACAGGGGGAAGATGATCCTAGACTTCGGTGCTGGTGGTAAAATTTCGGCCACCTCGGGTAGAAGAGGAAAAAACGGCATAAGCATAAACTTTTGGCGCTTCGTGCGGATTTCTTGGACCTGCGCTTGGCCCTCCTCCCTGGCGCGCGGAGTGCGCCAAGGGCGGCGCTGGAGGCGCCGCCAGGGGGGCCCGGCGCAGATCCAAGAAATCCGCGCGGAGCGCCAACAGTTTGTGTTTATAGCTGTTTGTTCGATATATTTATATACTTTTATAAGGCCGGGGACCCCGGACAGACCCCGGACGGAGCCCCCCCCCTCCCAAACGAGTTTCGGGCTTCCCCGAGATTTTCGGGCGGTCCCAGAGGCGCCGCAGACGGCCCGAGATACTCCCAAGAGGGGTCCACGAGCGCTCCAAGACAGCCCAGGAGCGCTCCAAGAGACTCCAAGACGGCCCAAGACCGTCCAAGGGGGCCCCGAGTCGCCCCAAGAGGCCTCCAAGAGGCTTCCCAAGAGGGCCCCTAGAGGGAAATGTCATTGATTTTTGTATGGTTTTTCCCCAAACAGCTTGCTGAACGGGGTGCTTGTGTGAAAGAAACTAACTCCGGCCGAGGGAACGCGGAGCAGAGACATCCTCACAACAATTTGATGGTTTTGGCCGTTTCGCTTGAGACATCCTCACAACTCTCGTTTCTGAGTTGGCCGGGATTGGCCGTTTCGCCTGAGACCTCCTCGAAAAGTTGCGCTCCGGGACGCCGCGCGAAGGGTGGTCCGGGCCGTTTCGCTTGAGACATCCTCGAAACTCTGAACCCCGAGGTGCCGTGCGAGAGGTGGTCCGGGCCGTTTCGCCTGAGACATCCTCGAAATTCTGAGCTCTGCGATGCCTTGCGCGAGGTGGTCCGGCCCGTTTCGCCTGAGACATCCTCCAAACTCTGACTTCGGAGATGCCGCGCGAGAGGTGGTCCGGCCCGTTTCGCCTGAGACATCCTCGAACTTCTGAGCTCTGAGATGCCCTGCGCGAGGTGGTCCGGGCCGTTTCGCACAAGACATTCTCGCAACTCTGAGCTCTGAGATGCCGTGCGCAAGGTGGTCCGGCCTGTTTCGCACAAGACATTCTCGCAACTCTGAGCTCTCAGATGCTGCGCGAGAGGTGGTCCAGCCTGGGCGCCTAGAAGACAACATGTTACATATCCTCCATGGGACCCTGCGAGCCTCAGGAGGCCCCAGAGAGGTCCAGGAGGCCGCAGGTCGCCCAGGACAGGCCCCAGGGGCCCCCAGGAGATTCCCAGGAGGCTCCCAGGAGGCCCCAGGAGGCCCTCTATCAGAACGTGTCAAGTTAATACACATCCGGTGTCGATTCGTCGATTCTTCCTGCTCTTGTGCCCCCCCCTCCATTTGGAGAGGCCCAAACGGCCAAAGGTTAGATATCCCCCCTGGGAGCCCCAAGAGGCTTCAGGAAACCTCAGGTGGAGTTCAGGAGGCCACAGGAGGCCCATGAGGAAGCTCCAGGAGGTCCTCAGGAGGCCCCAGGAGGCACCAGGAGGCCGCAGGACGCCCAGGACAGGCCCCAGGGGTCTCCAGGAGATTCCCAGGAGGCTCCCAGGAGGCCCCAGGAGGCCGCCTATCAGAACGTGTCAAGTTAATACACATCCGGTGCCGATTCGTTGATCTTTCCTGCTCTTGTGCCCCCCCCTCCATTTGGAGAGGCCCAAACGGCCACAGGTTAGATATCCCCCCTGGGAGCCCCAAGAGGCTCCAGGAAGCCCCAGGTGGGGTCCAGGAGGCCACAGGAGGCCCAGGAGGAAGCCCCAGGAGGTCACCAGGAGGTCCCAGGAGGGACCAGGAGGCCCCCGCAACTCGGAGCTCTGAGACGCCGCGCTCGAGGTGGTCCGGACCGTTTCGCCTGAGACTTCCTCGCAGCACGTTTCGCCCGAGACATCGTCGCAACTCTGGGGTCCGAGATGCCGCGCGCGAGGTGGTCCAGCCCGTTACGCTGGAGACATCCTCGCAACTTTAGGCTCCGAGATGCCGCTCGGGATGAAGAGGACATGGAGGAGGAGGAGGAGGAGGAGGAGGAGGAGGAGGAGGAGCAGGAGGAGGAGGAGCAGGAGGAGATGGAAGGGAGAAGGAGGAGGCGGATGATATGCATGAGGGAGCAGGCAAGAGGAGGGGGAGGCCCCAGAGAGCTCCAGGAGGCCGCAGGAAGCCCAGGACAGGCCCCAGGGGTCCCCAGGAGATTCCTAGGAGGCTCCCAGGAGGCCCCAGGAGGCCCTCTATCAGAACGTGTGAAGTTAATACACATCCGGTGTCGATTCGTTGATTATTCCTGCTCTTGTGCCCCGCCCTCCATTTGGAGAGGCCCAAACGGCCACAGGTTTGATATCCACCCTGGGAGCCCCAAGAGGCTTCAGGAAACCCCAGGTGGAGTTCAGGAGGCCACAGGAGGCCCAGGAGGAAGCCCCAGGAGGTCCCCAGGAGGCCCCAGGAGGCACCAGGAGGCCCGAGGTGGTCCGGCCCGTTTCGCCTGAGACTTCCTCGCAGCACGTTTCGCCCGAGACATCGTCGCAACTCTGGGGTCCGAGATGCCGCGCGCGAGGTGGTCCAGCCCGTGACGCTGGAGACATCCTCGCAACTCTAGGCTCCGAAATGC